CTCAATTTTTTTATGAGGAATTCAAATATGAGCTTGGATTTAACAAAATCTAACTTCTTCCCCCTAAATTCCATTTGGGCTAAAGGTATGCCTTTAGGGTCTAAAAATTCCATTTTCAATTCTAATGATTCCAAACATTCTTTTGGTATTTCCATTTACCATTTTTCATTCTAAACTTATTGGAGGCATCAAAATTATCAAAATCCAGCCCTAAGGCATAAACCCAAACTTGGTTGAAACCCTTACTTAAGTTACATAATCATGAAATCTTTCATAAATCATGCAATAACCACTTGATTCTCATTTCTATCAAACCTTTAAACATTATTCTAACATCAATTTCTTCTTCCCCTTCACTTATCAATTTCATACAGCATGTCCTCTTAGGGTTTCAAGCTCCTAAAATCCAATAAAACCCATAACCAAGCTAAAAAAATTCATATGGTAACATAGACTAGAACAAGAGCTATGGTCTTACCTTAATCGGATGCATAAATTTACTTAGGTTCCTCTGCTCTTTCTCTTCGTCCTCTTCCTTCCCTCCTTGCTGAAATGCTCTCTCCCTTTTATCTTCAATTGGGCCGAAAATCTTCAAGGAATGAGAGAGGGAGGGTATTTATAAGAAACAAGCTTAGATCTTAGCCCTTGATCTTGTAAATGGGTGGCTTAATTTTGGCCATTCATTTAATCTCTTTGTCATGTGTCCCTTGTCCTCTTGTCTTCCATCTTTATCAAGCCATGTGTCTAGGCTTCTAGATTGCTTACTCCTTATGACATCACGCCTCTTACATCACGCCTTGCCATGTGTTTTATAATTAAACCACTTAGCTTATGATTTTTTCATTTGTAACTTGATTATGCTATATGTTTCATGATCTCACATTTGCCTTCTTGAAATACTCCTACTAATGAGAAGCCTTACATGTGGCGTGAAAAGGGGGAAGAAAAGAGAATTGGAAAGCTTCTCCAACAAGCTTCCAAGCTACTGATCTCATTTGTCTCTTACCGATCCCTTTTCTTTTCCCACATGCTTTCTTAGAATTTCTAACCAATGACTTGGCCCACATATGATGCCATCTTTGAGAAGCATAGAAGAAAATAGTTAGCTCTACTAACAGACTGCTTAGTCTCACTGAGTCACACGGTAGAGATTTTGCTGTATTGGGTAGACAGATGACTGTCTAAAACATACCCTTACGACGTTCTAATTTTTTTACTGTCCATAAATATCTTTTAGTGACTCATTAGATGTGGCATCACAAATGCATTCTAGCAACTCAGCACACTGACTCAGTGCTTCATTAATGCAATCTTATCCCATTGTCTCCTATTTAGGGGATAAAATTATTTAATATTTGACTGAAATATTTTATTCAATCCAAGGCTTCAAAAATTCATCTTTCCATACCATAATCTTTCGTTAATTTTGAAAAAAATCTGTGAATTTTCTCAGACCATAACTCAACCTGTAGGCATTTCTTTTTGAATTTCCCATAAAATGCCCTTAAATGGTAGAACTAGCTTTTACATATTCTTAAATCCATTCTACTAGCCTTCTAGGGATGAAACCAATTTTATAATTCTTTTTTATAGTATCTTAACTCATGAATCTCTATTTTTACTTACTTTTCTGAAACCTCCTCTTGATTCACATAATTAAATCTGACTGTATACATCAAAATAAGTCATAATCTTAAAAATTCCATTAAAGTCATCTCAGGGGTATTTTTGTCATTTCTCTTTACAAAAAGGCCTTACAACACTATTTTCCATTTTTTGGGATTTTCTGAAAATTTTGGGCATACTTCCTTCATTACCTTTTTCGACCTGAAACTTTTTAAAATTACAATTTTGCCTCTAGTTCGGCTTAACCTCATAATTCACCTTATTGAAGCCTCTAGCATAACCTTTGGCCTATATTTATCTTCATTTCTCATTTCTAGGTTTTGAGACTTCACTAGTGTTTCTAACTTTATTTATATTTTAGTTCCTAGAACCTTCTCAATTTGTAGTTTAATCCTTGAAAACTCTTTAACCTTCTTTTTACATTTTCAAAACTTTAGCTTATAAGGACTCAATAGCTTGCCCATTTTAGATTATTCCTTGCATTCCTAGGCCCAAAATCTGGGGATATGATAGTTCTCAAGTCTCATAATGGCATTAACTTTTGGAAACAACGCGGCAGAAGTGTTTGTCAAGACTCTTTTCAAAATATTAAGGTCTTATGTGTGGACATGCATGAAGTTGTGTTGGTCCACGAGAGACTTGCTTTGGGTTGTCCTCCTAGCTATCTATATGTTTATACTTTTTGTTGTATATTTCTTTTTTTGTACTTGTTTTATTTTTTGCTACTGGGATTCACAGCTACTTATTTTGGTGTGTTAGTTATTGATGCCCTTTTTATGTATCATTTTATTTCGTATTAATAAAATTGTCTATTATAAAAAAATAAAAAAAACAAAAATGCAAATGAGTGAGTTGGAGGGTGGATCTTACTCTTACTTGGACTGCTTCATTGATGATTGACTAAGAAATAGGATGTGAAGTTATGAGGTTGATGTTGAATACAATACCTTTATACTTGTTATTTATACAAGGGTTAAGATGCACATGCTACTTTAAAATATTTTTTTAACATATGTCGAGCGCTTTAAAATATTTTTTGACTTAGCTAGCATCTTAAAGTATTTTTAAGGTATGATCAGCACTCTATAATATTTGTTAGTTCAATTTTGTCCTTAAACTATTAATTAGCAATTTTTGTCCTTAGGTATTTTTTTAGGAACAATTTTAATATTATTGTTAACTCTTCAAAAATCCTGTTAAATGAAAGTGTATCAAACATCCTAAAATATTTTTCCATATTTTCTAGACTGCTGAATGCACTGAAAAAAAAATTTTAAAGATGCTGGATAAACTTCAAAATACTTTATGTTGTTGGATGCAATTAACAAAATATTTTAGGATAGGAGTTAAACGTGGCTACTACATTTATCTTGTGTGACTTTGAAATTTTAGTTTTCTTTTGAAAATAATTAATGAACTAAAATATTAATAAAACAATTAATTATTTGTATACTATTCTGTTTTTATTATTAAAATAATGGTGTTTAGAATCTAAGTGTTTACTTAGGAACATATAAAGTTATTTGGATTAATATCATTTTTAGTCCCTAAAATTTAATCCCGTTATAATTTTGGTCCCTAAAATTTGAAACCAGTGGTTTTGACCCTAGACATTTAACATCATTTTGGTTTCGGTCCTCATCTAGTTTTAAATTTTAGGGATGAAAACTAAAATGAGATCAAGTTTCAAGGGTTAAAATCATTGGTTTCAAAGTTTAGGAACCAAAACTCAAATATAGTCAAATTTCAGGAACTAAAAATTATATTAACCTAAGTTATTTTCATCAAATGTGATTATAGGGCATTTTGTGAAGACTGAAACGAGCATTTGATATAACTTTTTCTTTAAAAATTTAGGTTATCATATGACTAAATTGGTCTGATTGAAAAATAATTTTGTGACATTCTTTCGTGAAAAGGGAGGGACATGATGATTTTCTCTCCTTAAATAGTGGTGTTGGAATTTCATCAATTCAATTAATTATTTTAATATGTGTAAATTAATTAAAGATGCATAAAGTTTTAAGTTGAGTCCATGTAAAATTGTAATTTACATTTTATAATGAATGTAGAGAATATATCTATGAGATCTATTCTCAACTAAACTTAAACAGTGCCTAAATCTAACTTAATAACACTAAATATCATATATACATATAAAAAAAAGCCAAATTAGTGTTGCCCCTTTAATTAAAAAATAAAAATAAATGAGAAAAAGGATGACTTATATATCAAGAACATGTTTGGAAAAAAAATCAAGAACATAAGAAAAATTCTACTACTTCCTATCCTTAATGTAAGACCTAGTCAACTACTTTGAAATAATTAAGGAACTTAAAAAGATCACTTAATTATACCATATATTACATGATCTTTTTAAAATACTTATGTGTATTACTAGATTATGTATTTATTTATAAACCTGACAAATTAATTTTTTAAAAAAGATATATAAAATATTTTAAAGTAATTTTTTAATTTTTTTAATCTTTTCAAATTAGTCAACCACATTTTATATTAAAGACCACATATAGTATAAACTTTTAGTTATAGTCAAAGGAATCATGTCATCAGCTATTAGAGCCTGGTTGGGCGGAGAAGAGCAGAGAAAAGAAATTATAATATTATATCATTTGGGTCTAGTGGAGGCGAGGAAAAATTTTTATATGAACAACCTTGTCCTTATTTTGTTTATGTTGGTTTTTTTCAAACTTTATAAAATATAATTACAAATACTCCTCCGGTCCTAATTATAAGACCCAATTGACTTATTTGAGGAGATTAAGGAAGTAAGTTAAATTGGTTATTTATAATAAATAAGTGTTGTCATTCCTAAAATATCCTTGCTAATTAAGTATATTGGCTAAAACTATCATTATTAGAAGGATTATCTTGGAAAAAAATGCATAAATATAAGAGACAAAATGGATTGGGTCTTATAATTAGGACCAAATAAAAAGTCAAATTGAGTCTTATAATAAAGACCGGAGGAGTAACATTTAATATATAAACAATACTAACAAACTTGTATATATGCACATATAATTTTTATATCATGTTAATTATATTATGATCATGATTCAAGTGAAATGTTGAACTCTTTTCACTGATAGATGAAGATGATTCCAAATGCATAGTATACTTCCTTAAAGATGGATGCTTTAAACACTCGTCTGCAAATACCACCAGTACCGAAACATAGAAATGGACAGCAATGATCAACTGTAAATGCGTTCTTCCATTTCTTCTATTCACGTCAGTGGAACCGAAAATCTTCAAAACCTGACAAATGTAATGGCATGTTGTTTTTGGTAGAGAATGCTGTTCGGACTCGAGTAATGTCAAAATAATCAGACAGGACATGAGAACCAACATTAACATAACATCTCAACTATTGGAGAGATTCCACACTAACTTGGCCAAATTACATAATCTTATCAGTACTCCAAACAAATCAATGTGACAGTAATGACCATCTTATAGTTTTACAATCTTCTCTCTTAACTTTCCCCATGTATATTGTTCTCAACAAGATCCTAACTCATATATAAAAACACATCATACTCACAACTATTAAAATCTGCAACTCAAAACAGCAAAACAGCAAGTGGCGTTAACGTTGTTCGACTGGATTATCCCAATTTCATATTAACTCCTTCATATGATCGTTATTGACAGATTTCCCCCAATTTCGTCATAATCAAGAAACTGTGTTATCTTTGTTTCAGTAAGCAAAATCAGAGATAAGCTCATTTACTGGTAGGAAGACTTGGATCTCATGGTATACTCAGCAACAAGCTCAGCAAAAGAAGATGATTTGTCCTCAAGCAATCTTGTTGGAGAGTCAAACTCCTCAATCAGTCCTGCATCAAGATCCATGGAAATCATATGAAAAGACAAAATAAAGCAGATCAAAGTACAGAAACTATACATAATCAAAGAAGAATAGCAAGCAACTTAACTGACCTTGATTGAGAAGCAGAACCATATCACTGTCAAGAACAGAAGTTATTCTATGTGCAATGGTAATGACTGTACAGTTAGAGAAATGTTGCCGAAGAGTTTGCTGAATTAGGTTATCTGTGGCGGTATCAACCGACGCGGTGGCCTCATCAAGCACCAACACCTTACTTCTCTTAAGTAGCACCCTACCAAGGCACACCAATTGCCTCTGACCCATGCTCCAATTCTCACCGTTTTCACTAACTACACCCATTTTCAAAAAAAGCCATCGGTTAATATTTCTGAGATCAGAAACAATGTAATGTCCTTTTGTAATCAAGAAAAATAGGACAAACCTGCAGAGTCTAGCTTTCCATCTTTCTTTCGAACGTCATCTCCAAGTTGACACTTATCTAGAGCCTAAAAGCATGTCAATCAATGAAGGCAAAGACACATCACGAAACAGACACAAATTTAATCTTGGCACAAAACCTATGTTGAGTGAGTGCATGTTTCTATTTGAAAATATTGCAACCTACCTCCCAAATTTGCTCATCTGTGTACTCTTCCAATGGGTCTAAGTTACTTCTCACTGTACCTTCAAACATGGTTGGATCTTGAGGAATAATGCTAAGTCTAGACCTCAAATCATGAAGTCCAATTGATGAAATGTTGATGCCATCAATCACAATTTGCCCAATAGCTGGCTCAATGATTCGAAAAAGTGCTTGTATGAGAGTTGTTTTACCACTTCCTGTTCTCCCAACAATGCCAGTTTTCAGTCCACCAGGGAATTTGCACGTTATGCCACGCAACACAAGCGGAAGATGTGGAGCATAGCGAACCTTCATCATACGCAGGATTATGTTTTATGTTAGTACAAACATAATGTAAATCCATGATCCAAAAGATATTTTACAAGCAGTAATATTTCTCTTTGAAGATAAGCTCTAACACTTGATAAAAGACTAACAGTTCAAGTTTTAAAAATTAATTGACCAAAGATTGAAAGAAATGATGATGCTGACATGCTCCATATGATTAAGACATGCACTTGGAATAAAATTTATGACTGACTCAGTACCTGTAGATCACAAATGTCAACTTCCCCATGCATTGGCCAAGAAAGATTGGGTCTATTTTCTTCTATCACAAGAGGGGGCTCACTTGGAATGCTACTATACTGAAGTATTCTCTCTACTGATATAATTTTATTCTCCAAGTTGCAAAGATTCCATATCACCCAGGCTTGTAACATGTTTAGATTAAGTCCATACGTAACAGCCAAACCAGCAATACCTTCAGAATCATAAATAAAATATAAGTAAACAACAAGCCTCCATTACCTCAATAACATAGGCTAAGTAATTGTCAATCGGTCAAGGTGCCAAAACCATTTTTTGACCAACAGATGCCAAAGCTGAATCGCTCACCTGGATCTATGACTCCCCGTGGCATAAATATCAAGAATATTAAGGAAAAGACAAATGTGATGGAAGACAACATATCCAAGCGGAAGCAAAGCCATTCCATAGCAGCAGCACTGTTAAATTTTGGCCGAGAATACCCATCCATCAGTTTCATATTTGTTTCCTTAAATCTTGACTCTTGATCAAAGCTCCTGATAGTTGTTGTCCCTGAAATAGTTTCAGCAAAGTGCTGAATGACTGGAGCTTTGCACACTCCAATTAACCGTGATAGCTCTCGAGCTGAAGGTAGATAATATTGCTGCCAAATAATAAGTTGTTAAAAAAGTACACAGAAGCAATGAAAAATTTAGGAAGAAGTGCATGATCAGCATAGACTACAGAACAAGGAAGAACATACAAGAAATACACAGAACCTTGTATCAAGTAAGATAACATTGTTTAAGCAAAATACCTGATACCAAATGCTGATTGATATCACAGGTATAAAGATGATGAAAACCTGCCATGCAGCCTGAGACATCACTGCTATTATTCCAAAAAGTTGGATCATGGAGAAGGCAAATGACCCAATTTGATAGGGAATGTTTAAATCAACTGCACTTTGATCTGTAGAGGCCTACAAGAAAACAAAGAAAAACACTGTCAACGATTCAATACATTATTCTTGATATATGGTCATCAAAGGAAACCAACAAGGTGAAGGGGACCATAAATTTTAAAGATTATTTAAAATCCATAAACTAAAATTTTATAGCTCACTAGATTAGACAACAAAAACGATAAAACAATGGAATATTTCAACTTCTTACTCTGTTAATAATCCTTCCACTTGGAGTGGCATCAAAAAATGGCATAGGTGCACGGAAGATGCACAAGTGCATTTTATTGAAGAGCAGAGTTGCAGTCTTGTAACCAGCTGTGAATAGAAAAATTGCTCTAACAAGGATACAAAAAGCACTTCCTATGGCCATAGCAACATAGACAACTATAAGCATAAAGGTTCCAACAGGTGGTTTCAGATCTGAAGAGACGGGAGTTGCCCAAGCCATCCAATAGTTGCTTCCAATTTGAAGAACTTGAAATAGAATTTGTGCCAACAATATAATTGGTACAAGAGCTCCTCCATATGCTGTAGTAATATATTTCCAGTAGACAGAAAGCCCAACTTTACCTTTCTCCCTTTCTTCCTCTTGAATAAGCTGGCCTTTTGGTTCAACTACATTATCTGTTTTATCACTCTGCCTATCACTGTTTGTCTCTTTTTCCTCTGTAACTTGTACACCAGAGATATTTATCTCTTGATCAGCTATACTTACTTTATCAGACTCTTCCCCCCCATCCAATGAATTAAGTGCAGATAACGCTTTTTTATGTGCCCCAACAAGCTCCATAAAGTCAGTCCCTAAGTTGAGCAAATCATTATACTTTCCACACTGAGTAATTTCCCCATCTTTCATGACCTAATAAATAGGATATAAAATAAATATTAGAGGACACTAAACATAGTAAATTCTCTTTTAAATGATAAAGATTAAATTATGAGAATAGAGCTCACCAAAATAAGGTTGGCAGCAGGTAAGAACTCTACTTGATGAGTGATATAAATAACTGTCTTGGAACTTAAAAAACCTAGTAAGCATTCCTGCCATAGACAGAAATAATGAAAGAGACAATTAACTAAAACATTTAAACAAGTGTGACACTAAATAAGGATCATGTTTCAAAACAGCATGAAAAAGAATAATTTATAGAATACTAAATCTGCAAAGCACGCAAGTTCTATAGCCAAATTCATCGCATATAACAAACAAAATATCATAATGGGTTACCTTAAAAAGGTGCGATCCTGTATGAGCATCCACAGCACTAAAAGGATCATCAAATAGATATATATCAGCATCTTGGTAGAGAGCTCGTGCAATCTGAATTCTCTGTTTTTGTCCACCACTCAAATTGATTCCCCTCTCTCCAATAATTGTCTGATCACCAAATGGCAGAATCTCTAGGTCCTTCTTTAGGGAACATGCTTGAAGGACCTTCTCATACCTTTCTCTATCCATCTCCTTACCAAATAATATATTCTCTTCAATCTTGCCACTTTGAATCCATGGAGACTGAGAAACAAAGGCCTTAGTTCCACACACCCTTATTGTTCCTGATATTTTTGGCACTTCTCCCAAAATACATGATAGTAGACTGGACTTGCCTGAGCCAACAGTACCACAGACAGCAACCCTCATGCCCTGCATGACCGTGAGATTTATACCTTTCAATGTTGTATTAGAGGAAGATAAATCCCACGAGAAATTGCCATTAACTACTTCAATTGCTGTATTAGAACTACCCTTTGGAAGCTTATCTATAACATCAGACTGTAAATCATCAAGTCGAAGGAATGATGCAATCCTATCTAAAGATACTTTAGTTTGTGCTATCATTGAAATTGTGTCTGGAAGGTTATAAATGGGCTCTTGAAGAATTCGAAATGTTGCAAGTGCAGATAAGATTTTCCCCGATTCAAGTGGGATCCCCAGAAGTGCACAAGAACCAAAGGTAGCCACAGATACAAATGTTGGTGCACCCCAGAACACAAAGGTGGTGATGGCTGATGTGTAAAAAAATTTCCTTAGCCAACCTTCTTCTATCTTCCTTAGTTCAATAACCTTAGACAAAAACTTCATTTCCCATCCCTGTAGTTTGAGAATTCTCATGTTCCTTAAAATCTCAGATGTGGCCTTCATTCGTCTATCCTTTGACTCCATTAACTTGTCTTGAAACTTTTCCTGCAGTGAGCCCAAGGGAATATTTGCCAACATTATAATAACAGTAGCAATCAATGCGGCAATTGAAGCCATCCCAAGATTCTTGTACAAAATAAACAAGGCCAACGCTACTTGCAAAAATACCATCCACAGATCATGAATGTACCAACTGAAATCACCGACTCTCTCAGCATCAACAGTCATAAAATTGATTATTTCTCCAGTAGTGTGACTCTGCTTGGCTTGACAGGAAAGGGTCAAGCTTTTACTATAAATCACTGTCACCAGCTGTGCTCGGATCCTAATTCCAATTTGTTGCAATATAAAGAACCAGTGCCTTTGTGATAGACATTCTATAATCTTCGCAACAAAAAATGTAGCCACCAAAACATATCCCTCATTCTTAAATGTTTGTTTACCATTGAGGTACTGAACAAAAGTGTCAATAAGATATGGACCAACGTAAGAAGCCAAAGTGTTTAAAAGTGCAAGAATGGCTGTTGCAAAAATCTCTTTCCAAGCTGAGAATATTAATGACTTCACCAACTTAAGTGTGGTCACTCCATTTATTGTATCACAGTCAGCCTCAAGTTTATTTCTAAAAGGTGGAAAAGCTCCAGCTACACTGTCACAACCAGCTAGTTGCGGCACATCCTCAAGATCTAAAGTTTTCTGCTTGCCCGTAGCAATCAGAGGACCCACCCAGGAGAACGTAAGAATGCTGAAAAGGCCAGCATTTGAGTAGGGAGTAACAGTTTCCTCCCCCTTGGTCTTATTTGACTCTAACGCATTACTTAAATCAGCATTGTTAAGCAAAAGAGGCTCCTGAAGAGTGTTATCTTCACTCTCATTTTTCACATAAAACACCACGTAACAGAAGAATATACTCACAAAGGAGGAGACAGCATCAGAAATTGAGTATTGAAGCGGCAGCAAGACGTGTTTAAGTTGGAGAATAACGTCCAGTATAAAGCTATAACAAGAAATAAGGAGGTAGAAAGCGCACCAAGTTCTGAAGAAGAACGGAAATTTCCTTTCACCTGAATTGAAGAATCCTGTACGCAAGTAAGCAAAAACAACACCCCAAGCAACTGTTTTAAGCGCCAAATCCAACAGGGTCACGAACTTTTCATCAGACCAACCATTTCTATACCAATAGAAGTAACACAGTAGACACATGACAAGATTAAATGCAGAAGCACCCAAAGAACAAAACAGAGCCCTTGGATATAGAGTACCCCTGAGTTTCTCCTTGGAACCATCTCTAGCACCCACAACAATTTTATTCCACACCCATGAAACGAAGAACGCTACTAACAAAACTAGGTGGAGAGAAGCAGACAACAAATGCAAGAAAATGGGTTTTAGGAGAAGACTGGATGCAGAGTCCATTAGCGAGTTGTGTGAGAAAAGAAATGACATAGTTTTAAGCAAGAAAATAAAAAAGAAACAGAAATTAGCGTCAAATACGGAAATTTCTGAAATAGGATCTTATGAGATGAGGGCCGCGCTCGAAGGTTCAGGTGAGGGGCTCTAGTTTAGATTCAGGTCGCGCAAGATTGAGAACGAAAATCTGAAAAAACTGAGCTTAAAAGGGAGAGAGTGAGAGTGCGATAGAAAGAGAGGGAGGGAGAGTCAAAGATTGGATTCCTTGAGGAATGGCTAACGTGGTGCCCAAGGCTAAATGGGCGGAGCGAACCAAGGAAGGAGACTGATTTCCAGGAAAGGGGTGAACTCCGGGCAGAGAGAGGCCACAGAAACTTCTTTGGCGGCCCCGTGAAAATAACTTTTTAAAGAAAATGAGGATACGTATCGTACTTTTTTTGTTTTTTGTTTTAGATTCTCTATCTAAACATAAACATCGTCTAGTATTTAGTATTTACTCCCTCTTTGGAAGCGGCTTCCCTTCCTATTCTCTTTTTTTTTTCCCAATCAATTTCCAATCTACATAATTCAGCTGTTCACTTGTTTGTATATAACTCTACATAATTTTATTTTTCAAAAATGAAAAACCTATAATTGCATTAGATATATTTGTTGTTATAGGCTTTTTATAATCTGTGTTTATATATTGATTTTATTTTATTCAAATAAAAGCATGCAAAAAATTAATGTTTCACCCAAAAGAGTTTTAAATTAGAAAATTATGAGATAAATAATGAAGTAAATAAAGTGAAATGAAATTTTAAAAATAAATAAGAATCTAAACAAGCCTAAAAAAGACATATAATGCTGTCTTGAAAGTGTCAACAAAAATTGATCCAATTGGTAAAAAGTCAACTCATAACAACAATAAGGTCGTGAGTTTGAATTTCGTTGTCTAACATGAGAACCTTACTAATGGATAATTTATAAGTACCCGAAACTCAACTCAACTAAATTTTTTTCTTATTGCCATGAAAATATTAAAAAGTAAGCAATGTTGCCCTTGCCATTAAAAAATGTTAGTTTTTTAATTATCAATGTTAATATTTTAATAACTAGGGTGACATTGCTATTTTTTTTAATTTTTTAACATTTTCGGTGTGACATTAAGTGGAGAAAAATATTCCTGAATGTTTATGATTCTTCCCGAGTGCTTTTAAGGAAAAAAATGACCAAGTAGTATCTAAATATACGGAGTGTTCAATAAATATTTTGAAAAGAATAATAAATAATTAATGAATAATAAATTGTTGAATTGTGATGGCGACAAAAACTGCCACGGCAGAAAAAAAATAAAATGTGTGGATATTAATGTGTAGTCCCCAAGTAAAGCCACTTGTCTATGAGCGAGTTCTCAATTTCTCATTTGCATCTTGAATTTTTTTGAGCTCTTGGTTAAAACGGAGGCCGTGGGGAACAGTGGGAACGAGGGATTCTTCATTTGTCGATTCTTTATTATGTAAACCATTTTCTAACAAATATGTGGGGTCCACTTCGCCCCGCAGAATTTCTATGCGCGTTTGAATTGAATATGGCCGCAAACGGTTCCCACGTAGACTAATGAACACATTAATTTCATGTTCCTTTTTTTTTTTTTTGCTTTTTTTTTTAATAACTTCATCTTAATGTGCTCTTCCCTTTCTTTTTAAAGCGACAATTTTTTGAATTAACATATCTTTTATAAGTTACTTCTCTGATCTTATTTATAAAACACTTTCAGCATATTTTATACAAACCAAGAAAAATCTTAAAATACATTAACTCTCTATTAAAATATAATAATTTTTCAACTTTACCCGTATTTAATATATACAGCTTTCAAAAGAGACAACTACCTAAATAAAAGACAAGATAATACATTCAAACCGAAAATTTAATAAAATAACTTATAAATAGGACTCAAAAAAATATTATCTCTCTGTCCTATAAATAGGACCAGATGAGTACATCTTAAATATGTCTAAATATTTAAAGTTTTCATAAGGTCTTTTAATTATACTCCAATTATAATTGTAAAAGTTAGAAAACTGATTTATCAAAATTAAGCAAATTAGTTAAATATTTAAATTAATTATTTATAACAAACATATATATTAATTTGTCTAAATTATCCCTTTAATTATTTGCATTAAAAATCACCCTTATTAATGAAAACTCCTTTTAACATATGTAATTAACAAGATTGTTAAATTTCTAAGACAAAATATTGATGTTTTAAATTTAAAACAAAAATAAATCCAAATCTTACTTTTACAAGTTGATGGAATTTCATTTTCCCCCGTATGAAAACTTTTTGCTTTGTTTTAATTTATGACTAAATTGGACAGTGACGTGAACAACCAGTTTTGGTCCGATACAAAGGACACATTACCTTGGATGACAACATTGGGACCCTAAAAAATACTCTTCCGATCCTTAATATAAGACACATTTAACTAATTTGATTAGATTAAAAAAGTTAAGTAAATTAGTTAATTATAAGAAAACTGACACATTTTTCCTAAAACACCATAATCATCTTTCTTAATACCCCTCTCTCTCTTCTACTTGATTATGGTTGAGGGAGTATCCATAGGAGTAATTTAGAGAAAACTGATAAATATAAAAAATAGATCTTATATTTAGAATTAAAACCATCTTAAGAATTGAGTCATGTATTAAAGACCGGAGGAGTAAATTCAACTTATGGAAGCTTTGGAAAATTCCAAAGCCTAGCAGAGGTTTTCATTACATTGATGATATGCTTACAAATTTTCCAGACCGCACACTTCGACGTCGATTTGGCTTCATTGGTAAATGAGAATGACAAGCTCCCCGTTGAGGTCGATCACTTGTGCCAGAGACCAGAGTGAGTTGCGAAGGACATTGGAGTTCTCGAACTAGCCCCCGAAAGAAAAAGAAAAAGCTAACGTGTCATTTGCTTTTAATTATAATTAAGATATCCTAATCATAATGTAAGATCTAATTAACTAATTTGAGTAATTTAAAAATATTAATTAAATTAGTTAATACAATATTTTTTCTAAAATATTATAAGCATCTTTCTTAATTATATCTTTTCTTTTTCTACTTGATTATTGTTGAAAGAATATCAATAAGGTTAATTTGAGAAAAATTGATAAATATATTAAACATATCCTATATATAGAACCAACATCAACTACATAAGTAAATCTTATGTTAAGTATCATACTAGTAGTAAATACTCAACTTTCTTAATTAATTAATTCATTAATTATATAAGTAATTTATTGAATTAGAATCATGAAAATTGGCACAAATGGTTTATAATTAATTATTATATTGTTGCATTGATTTTATGTCCTCCGTCTATTTCTTTTTATGACGCACGTCTAATCACAATGTAAAAATGAAGGATTATTAAATTTATAAGAAAATGAAAAAAAAAAAAACTAATGTTTCACCTAAAAAAAGTGATTAGGTTAGAAAATCATGAGACAAATGAATTAAATAAAGTGAAGCCAAATTTCAAAACTAAAATTAGGAATCTATACAAATCTAAAAACAGCATACAATCAACCAAAATTTAAACGAAAAATATATTTTAATTTTGACAAAAAAATGATCTTTTTCATCAAAATTAGACATCAATATTATCATTAACGAAGGCCTTGTTTGTTTTCTTATTTTGAGAACACTTTTTTCATTTTTGAAAATAAAAAAAAATTGTTTGATAACTTGTTTTTAATTAAATTTTTTTAAAAATAAAAAAATTAAATATGCTTTTAAGGAAACTAAAAATAATTTTTCATTGTTTTCTTGTTTTTGTTTTTGTATTTCTTACTTTTTATTTAAAAAGATTGGGAAACTCTTTCTCCTTCAACTTTTTCTTTACATAAAGACTTGAGTTCCAATCGAAGTTTTATCTTCTGATTTCAACATGTTCATTTTTAAATGAAATTTTTTAGAATAATTACGCAAACAGATTTTTCACTCTAATACTCCCTTCGGTTGTACGGTACTACCTCCGGTCCTTAATACAAGACCATGTTTGATTTTTATTTTGGTCCTAAATATAAGACCCCAATCTATTCTATCTCTTATATTTATACATTTTTTTCCAAAGTAACCCTTCTAACAATAATAGTTCTAGTCAATACACTTGATTTGTAAGGATATTTTAGGAAAAACAATAGCTATTTAGGACAAATAACTAACTCAACTTACTTCATTAATCTCTTCAAATTAGTTGACTAGTTTTTATAATTAAGACCGGAGATAGTAGTATATATGAATATACTTTCGTTTTTATGGGACAAAATCAGCCACGGCAGAAAGTGTGAAATGTATGGATATTAATACGTAAAGCGTAGTCCCCAAGTAAAGTCACTTATCTTTACGTGAGAATTTATTACTAGCACTTTGAATTCCTAGTGGCTCTTAATTAATAATGAAGACGTGGGGACTGGAGAGTAGTGGGTAAGTACCGGTGGATGGACACGAAGTCATTGGCAAGGGGGAAAAAAGCCGTGAAGTCAACATATGAATAATAATAAAACGTTTGCGTCAATATTCAGATGCATGCAGAAATTCTAGAAGGGCCAAAAAGGCCCCACAGATTTGGAAAATCGTTTTTGCGGTGAAGGATCCGCAAACGAAGATTTCCTCTACCTTTTTTTTTGGCCTGAGAAGATTCCCTCTGCTTAGCAAATTTTCCACACGTTACTTTATTTTCGATTTTTTCTCTTTTTTTCCCCCTTCTCTCATAGTATAATCATTATATAATATTGTTGAATTAGATTCAAACATTGTTGAGATCAATTAGAAATATTTTGTTAATATGACTTCTTTACATTCAAACGTTTTTTTGTAACAAACAAATGCATTTTATTAATGAAACAGCCAGCAAAAACCGCGAGTCAGCAAATATCACTAGTTGAAAAAGAATCAAGCCACTTTTGCTCCATATAGTTGCCTTGATTTTATGTATTTTTTCTGTTTCTTATTACAACAACCCAAGTATGATT